AGCTTTGTGGAACACTTACTTGTCACTAAAAAGTAAAATACATCCAGGTATTGCCTCACCTCCAGATGAATAACCTTTCGTAATATATTCAAATAAATGTAGCTGTCTGTTACATTGAGGTTACATTGTAAATACATACTTCTTCTGCTTCTTGTTTATTGGTGGATTGAGTTTTTCACCAAAAAATTTACAATTGAGCATGCATGTATGACTACTGTTCATTTGCAGACATGGAAGTTGATGATTTTGTTGAAGCATCATCAGTACTTGTAGAACCGCTGGAGAATTTTTTCAACGAGGTCTTTGTAATGGTGGTAAGTTCCTCTGATCTCATTTTACTTCTTACATGTGAAAACTTCATAGTTCTGAAGCATTGACTAGATAATCTTGATTTCTGCGCATCCAACAGAGTATAGGCCTATAGCTCTGCTTACCATGGTTTTTCCCATCTTAGATGAAATGCATCGTATAGAGTATCATGTTTTCTTTGTTATGTTTATTCTTCTTAGCTCCTATGGAACGCCTTCCTGTCTTGGTGCTTGCATCAATGTGCTTTTTCTTTTCTATTTCAGTTTCTCTCTGATCTAAAAGAAGCATAAATCTACGCCTGCTGATACAACTATAGTGCATACTTTGAACCTCCTATTCTTATGTTAATTGTTCTTTATGCATACTGTAGGAAGACGAACGGGTAAGAACAAATCGTCTTGCACTGCTGAAGAAAATAGCAGACTTGCCAAGGGGAATAGTAGATCTCTCAGTTTTACCGGGATTTTGAAGTATGTACCAGTGTCCGCTTAGTTTGTGCCATACTATCAGCTGAGGCATCAAAGAAGAACAGCTATTGCCCATTAGCGGAGGAGAAAACAGTAAACAGACTAATTTTTTTTCCGCAGAGGGGAAGGGATACGACCACAACAGAGCGAACTAGAGGAGAAACTGTTACACAAATTTCGTAACGATGTCACAATTTTGACTGTTGTACAAGTGAATGAATAAAATGAGCTATCGCTTGTATGCTCACATTGTCTGAGGAATATATTATTTTGTTTCAAGTTATTCAAGAAATTCACCTTTGATTGAATGAATAAATGGCCTAAAAAATAAGTACCAGTAACCTTCGTAAACTACTGTGGAATTGGTAAACCAGAAATAATGCAAATTACGTGTTATATTAGAACGTAACATGGTAAAGATATAATGAAATAATATACATATTTTATGGACTATAAACTTCCTTTAAGTAATAATGTTTTAAAATTGAACTTGTACTTTTATTAGCCTAAATTACATAGGAAGTTAGGAACTAAGTGCCCATTTGTATTGACTTAAAAAAGTACTCCCTCTATTTCTATTTACTTGTCCACTTTTAAATTGACACAATTATTAAGAAAACAATGATTGATATAGTAAGTTTACCGTTTTACTCCTATTAATTATGAAGTGGATGAATTAAAAATTTAAGATTTTCAGGAAGTTTTACCTTTTTCAAAGTAACTAATTGAGGGCATAATAGGTTAAAAAATTATTCTTTTCTTGAATTGTCAAAATGGACAAGTAATTAGGGACAATTAAAAAAAGAAAATGGATAAGTAATTAGGGGCAAAGGGAGTAGATTTTAAAAAGTGTCGGTTTGACCAATTTGTGGTTTCTAACACATAAGTTCTCTGGCGATTAAATTGTACAAATTATTATACCAGACATAACTTGTGTTATATTATGGTAAGAAAATATTAACAAGAATTTTCTCCTTACATAGGAATATTTCCACAGAGAAGCAATAAAAAATCTCCGCCCACTTTTAATTGTCATACTTTTTCCTTTTTTTAAAGTAACTTTGACTAACATTTTACTATGTATTTTTCATCATATTGATATGCAAAAAATTGGAATTTATAGTACTTTTTGTATAGTTTTTGAATATCTAAATATGTGTTTAAAATATCAAATTAATGTAATCTAATTTAACTTTGAAAATTAATTAAATTTACTTTCGAAATGCACAATTAAAAGTGGACGGAAAAAAGAGCATGATTATATTGTTCAAAAATTGTGTAGTCAAATAAAGATGTGTTTGACCTTTGAATTTGATTACCTAATGAGCGCCGAGATACTCGTACGTATTCGCATATTCTCTATATGTAAGGATCTCGCAACGTCATGCATCCTTGTATCGACATCAATGGAAAAGTCAAAATGGGCCTAGGTTTTTCCACATTGAGATGTCCGAACCAAGGTGTGTTGTGAAGTTTATAAGGAAATTAAATTGAGGTCTGTATTCAGTACGATTATCAGCAATGAAGAGCGGAGAGCAGTTGTATTGTGATGATGATGATGAAGGAAAAAAAACTACAAATGGAAATTGTGATGTATTAGGAAGAAGAAGTAGTAGTTTAGAGAATGAAATTGAAGAAATAGAAGAGGAACAGGGGACTAATAATGGTTATATTCCGGCAAGTGAGTTGTTTGAGATTGATAATAGAAGAGGGTTAGCAATAATTAAAGAAGGTCATGAAGTTGAAAGTAGTACTTTATATTCATTTGATTTCCATAACAATGGGAATGTTGTTGTTTATGTTGCTGTTGGGAATAGTAGTAGTGCTAATAAGATTAGTAAGGAGACAAGTATGGATGCTCTTCTTTGGACACTCAAAAATGTTGTGCTGGATCCTCCTTCTACTATTGTTTTCTTGATTCATATCTATCCTGAGACTAAGTACATCCCTACTCCTTGTAAGCTCTCTCTTCTCTTTTTTTTCAGATTGATATTTGATACCAATGAACATATGTATATTTGTAGTCTTGTCCTTCGAGTTTTGTTACTACCTGTTATTTTGTTGTAGTTACTGTTCTGTTGCTTTTGTTACTATCAGTTGAACCGAGGGTTTATTGGAAACAATCTCTCTACTTTTGAGGTAGGGGTAAGGTTTGTGTACACATGATTACCCTCCCCATACTATAAATCACATGCCCAATCGAATACACGATACTGAATGACCAGCAGGATTTATATTCAGGATCAGCTTGCTTGGGTTAAGGTCTGTTCATGATATTTAACACCAGTAAAGAGTTAGCATCAGTTAGTCCAGAATCGCCTAGCTAGCTTGTTTCATGCTTGAGAAACTGTTTTTGATGTGTAATCTACCCAGAGTAGTACTTCAATATTGATCGATTAATTGTCGTTACTTGGTGGATGATGGTTACAACAGTGGGATTGATTCCAATAGGTCAAGTGAGTGCAGAGCAAAAGGAGAACCACATGGCTCAAGAAAGAGGCAAGAGGCGGCAGTTCCTTCAAAAGTATTATGATGCATGCGCTGCTACAAAGGTACACATTATTATTGGCTACTCATTCAACTAGCATAGCATACCTTCTTGTTACACAAAGATAGCATGAGGTTAACCATGTAACAAAACACATTCAACAATAGGTTAAAGTCGATACCATACTTATAGAGAGCGATACAGAAGCAAAAGCCATACTGGACCTTATGCCCATCTGCAACATAAGAAGGCTGATCTTGGGCACCTCTAAAGCCAATCTCAAGTATGAAATCTCACTTATATTATAGAATGCACAGTCCTCATTTCTGAATCTTGTTAATCTCAATTCCTTTTGATGGGTCTTAAGGAAACTAAAGTCGAGAAAAGGTAGTGGAACAGCGGATCAGATACTACTAAATGCACCTGAATTCTGTGAGGTTAAGATAATATGTGAAGGCAAGGAAATGGTTGAGCTGCAGATGTTTGAATCTCCTTCTCCCAAAGCCACTACTGGTAATAGTCCAAAGCCAATTCAGAATCATACCGAAGATCAAAATCAAGTCCAGAATGGATCCTTCGGATGTGGATGCTTTAAAGCCAGAGTCTTCAACAATCTGCATTAGCATCAAACCCAAAATTCAAGGTTGGATGTCAATTTCAAGTTGAAGGACTTATCATATCATACATATGCATGAAAGTCGGTAACTATATATTGTATATCGAGAAACAATTAATATACACACCATTGTTGATATGTTCAAAAAGATGTAAAGTTCTCTTTTTTACCCTGATTCAATCAACTACGGATCCTTAGTTCAGTCCTAGTGAGTAACTTTTAGTATAGACAATTGATCACTCTTATGAAATGATAGTTATGTAAGTTAATGATCGCGCTGAGAAGTAAGGAGCTAAAGGCATACATGACTAGTAAGAAAGAAATATGGGTGTTTCTCCTTTCCTCAAAAGAGACAAAAGCAAATTCTATACATACAAGGAGAAGGTAAAAGGCAGCAACTTCCTGTGGATAAAAAAGGTATAGCAACAGGTTTTTGCTGGTTGATTTTTCATCTTTGAGACCTGTGCAGAGAATTATCAGGAATCTTGTATCTCTGCTGTTAGGTGATCAACTGCAACAAGTTTTTGCTGGTTGATTTCTCATATAGTCGCTCAACTAATAATTATATTATCTTAGAAAGTCGTCCTTCTTCTTAGTTTCAATTTTCTTCAAAAAGAAAGTGTTTTCAGAGATAATAACTGAGTTGGACATCCAAAGTGGAGTGACATGTCCGAGTTGGATTACCACATCAGGTGTCATATCAGCACAAAGAAGGACCTGTTAAGTTGAAGGGCATTTGTGATCCTTGTGCTAACGATAAGGGTAGTTTTGCTACCAACATGAAACGAAGGGTATATGTGATCCAAATCCAATAGTTTAAGGGTAATTTTGGCCCTTTCCGTTCATAATATTACAACCCTCCTTAATTTGCAGCTAACGTATGCAAACACTATTTGCAAGTCTTTCTCTTGCAAACAGTACTGGCCTGTTCTTTATATACCACACTTTTCTTTTTAATCAGTTCTAAAAAGAATGTCATCGTTCTATAATTAGAGGTAACTTAACTTTTAAATTCCCCTTTTACTCTTAATAAAATGATTTATAGCTACATAAACGTATAAAGTTCGATTTAGACCCTAGATTTTAAAAGTTTTTGTTCTTTCTTACATTGTGTGTCAAGTTAAACGGTGTAATGTAAATTGAGACGGAAGGAGTAGTTTCTTACTGTGGCCCTTAGGGGACACGTCGATGAGCTAACAAAATTATTCACCAAATACAAATATGTCTTCAAATCATGACACTTTGCTACATTTCCTTTCCTAATTGAATCTTTGCTACTCAACTTAAGTTCCTTCCCCACCTCAGCATACACCCACTGAGTATCTTCCATGTACTTTTCAAGCCAGCTTGGCACTCTTGCCACCGTGGCATCACCTCGATGTGCCATGTCATCATCGTCAATCACGAATCCCGGAACTTTTGTTATGGGATCATCAGAGTTGACTATTCTTAGTACCTTTGTACCATTTTTTTCCAATTGATACCTAAAGCTCTTGTTACCAACTCTAGGCCCTCCAAATGATAAAACTGTCACCATAGGCAAGTTATTAAATTTTGTTGTTATATCATATGCTGTAAGTGTAGCTAAGGCTGCTCCAAGACTATGTCCTGTAATTGTTATACTTAGAGAATATTCATCACTATAATTATTGAGAATGCTGATAATTTCTTCTCTAATTGTTTCTTGTAAACTTGGAATATGACCTTCAATTTTCGTAGTGTACATGCTCAAGAGTCCACTTTGTACCATTGGTTCGCTATTTTCATCAGGTGACATGTCATCTGGTAAGCAAGTCAATGTGGCACGTAAATTTTCAAGCCACTCCGAACAAGTGGCAGTACCTCTATAAGCAATCACAATGTCACGGCGACCTAGCCGGGTAATTTCGTCCACGTCATCGCATACCGCCACGTAACCAATCCAGCTGGATTGCGGCGACTTCAAATTGGGGAACTTCTCTATCCACCGTGGCATTTGAACAGCACACGTGGCATACAAGTTTTTTACTACCTTGTACCCGCTCCGTCCTAGTCCGCACTGCATCAGCATCGAACGTTTCGGGTACCGACAAGTTGCATACGTGGCTGATGACGTGTCAAAGTCAAAGCAGCCATAGGCTGCTTCTACAAACTCTCCATACCTTAAGATCTCCCCGCGAAGATCCTCGTCTAGTGGATCAAGCAAACCGTCCCAATTCTTGATTCCTTGAAACTCCATCCACTTCTCTCCGAGTTTGTCTTTATCGTTAAAAACAAGGCAATGACTCGAATCGGGGTGGCAGGAGTTACTAATTTTGATGATCCGATGAGTAGTAGTACTCAAATTTAGAGTAGACGTGGAATAGTACTGCCAAGTATTAGGCAGTACTATTCCAAAATATTTGTTGGTTAGAAATAGTTGATTTGGGCAGCGCATTATGTCGCAATTTGCAGCGCTAGTTTGTATACTTTAGTTGTACATTTTGTATACTATATATACTTACATTTTGCATAAATTTATAGTTAATGTAACTATCACAAAATTCCCTCCTTCCTCACCAAGCCATATTGACTCGATTAAATAAAATTCAGTATTTACAATGACACAAGATATAGTTTTTTTGGGTAAAATAATAAAAAGTGGTTTTAACAATACTAAATATTAATAGTAAAATATCTTTAGTGCTAAAAGTGTAACGGTTAAACATATTTACTTTGAATATTTCTGGTTGTGCCCTCTTCCCCAAGCTAAAAGAGGAAATTACGTTGTTATGGGGGGAGAATATATGTATATTAATTTTTAATTAAAGAGGACTAATTGATAGAGGGGAATTGGGGGCGGACGGTGCATTGAGTTTTATGGGATAAGTATTATCTGATTAAAGTGTAAATAGTGACTAAAAGATGACGTTGGATTTTTAATATTGATGACGAATAAGAAAAGGTGAAAATCAAACTAATGAAAGCAACATGTCAAAATAATGATAGGGCTTCAAGTCTTAGAAATTCCTCTTTAATAAATTCGTATAAATTTAAATTAATCGAGCTAGTAAATTTCAAACACCGCATGAATATTATTATACACAAAGCATAACTAATATTTTGATATATAATGGTGAAAGCCATCAATCATTTGACAAGAAGGATGATAAAATTATCGATAGAGAGATAGGCATAAGGTCCTTTTATTAAAGAAAGAATTCACATCAAAACTTTGATAAAGAACTCTAAAGATTGTGTAAGAATATCCTTGAGGCTGCTATTGTGGGTTAACTTAATCTATCTGACTCATAGAATGTTGACATACAGGAAGGCGCATCTAGGATTTAAAAATATGTGTGTTTCTTCAAAAATCTTGAATTAAAATATAATAATAACAACTGAATTCACAATATTTAATGAATTTCTCAACACAGGCAAAATTTGAAGAAGAATTATTGAATCCATAGGTTACACTGTGCATCCATTCCTGCTTGCTTGTGTTTTATTATTTAAAAAAATCTGTGACATCATTCAAGATTATCGTTAACTAGACGAAAATATGCTAATTATATTCTCATTTGACAAGTTCTGAAAGTGAAAAAAGCTCAATTGGATAAGTTAAAAGATCAATTATTATATTAAATATCTTTAATATTCATCTAAGTATATATGGCGATACGTATTATCCCTTCTAACCGAAAGGCGAAAGTTAAGATGCTGAGTATTTCATAATTATTCTTCAATCTTTGTTGTAGTACTAGTACTTATGCTAAACTAATTTGGAATATTGCTAATTTCCTTTATGTCTAATCATTCTACATTTGGTCTTAATATGTATTGATTAGAGTTGACATTGAGAATCATTCAAATATACTTCACAAGGTACCCTTCCTTCCAAACTCCACTTGTGAAATTATAGAGACTACAAGTATCATATTTTTGCAATATTTTTGCAGAGTCACTAAACCACCTAATTTGACGTGCATGAAATGATAACTACATAGTGCTATTGTGGTGACAAAACAACTTCGTCGTTGCATCGTTGCCACAAATATGTGATGAATAAAATTGCTAGTGTCACTCCAAAAAATCTACCTAAAGGATGGTATACCTAACCAAAAAGATTCTAGCAGCAAACAATCAATTCAGATATTCACGACCAAGAAATACTGGATTCTCTTTCATATAGGCCCGGAAAGGAGAAGGAAGGTTGAGATGCCAACAAACGCCTATTATATTGAATTTATCTAATAGTTCCCATTTTGGGAACGTCCAGTGCAGGAAAACACAATAAATCACCAATCCAAGACCGTAAATATACCTTATCTGCAGGACAGTCATACTTATCTCTCCAGTCACATCGACACAATAAAACTTATAGTGAAAGCACAGATTGCCTCAGACTCGGTGAAGAGCTGGAACAAGACAGAAGTAATTGTTTTGAAAAGTTTTTAATATATATTTTGTCTTGGAGAAAGATATCATAGAAGGTACAGAAATCTTACAAATGAGAAATTTATCACTTCCAATCATGACACTCTGCGCAATAAACAGTAGATGCCGCCTATCAGCCAACTTCCTTGATTTCCCAAATTATGCCACTACTTAACCCTGCTTGACATTGATATATTAGAATTGATCATGTCAGCATACCGATGAATAATGACAAGAAACAATGGTTTTCTTTCCTTTCAGCTTTTTTTTTTTAAGGATTGCATATCACGTCGCATTACTATTTTCTTTCTTAACCCACTGAGTGACTTGTTTTCTTGAACTTTGAGCAACTTGTTTTCTTGAATTGTGCCCCTGGTGTTTCTTTGTGCCGGAGTTCCTTCCTCTACTGGTATTAGGTTTGTTTGTGGAACCACTAGAATTTGTTCTGGAGTTGACTGCCATATCTTTGTCTTGTTGCTCTTTTGCCTCCTCAGTGGATGCTGTTGAGGGTAATGCAGCAGGTTGTGGAAGAAAAATACCTGGCCGCAACACTTCATGCTTTTTGATTTCAATTAGGCCGCCCTTCTCTTGCTGGAGTTTCAGTATTGCATCAAATTTCTCTCTTCTTAATTTTTCCGAGTCTGAGGAAAGAATCTTGTCCTCATTGTTAACTTCAAACCTGCTGGAGGTCTGGATTCAAACAGTGAGCAGATATCAACAGATCTTCCAGACTACCTCAAATGTAAATAACAAAACATTGTAACACCACAAAAAACAAACACTTTATTTAGTACCCAGGGGCACTAACCAACTGTACTTTGTTTCAGCTCTAACATATCAGATCTCCTAGTTTATTTGTTCCATATTTAATAGGCAAAGGTTTTACAGTTTGACTTCTCAAAGCTCAATATAGAAACTAAACGTGCATAAACAGTCACTAGGAAAGAGTTTACAAGAGCCATAATCCACACATAAAACTGACGCTGTGTATACTGTCTCATCCTCTTAACATATCATCCTCATTATCATCCCCATAACCCATAAGTGTGGTTACACATATGGAGACCTATCAGCCTTTTATTTCTATCCTTGAACTTTTGTCTATCGGCCCTCGTGCTCTATCAGAGCTCCAACTGGCTACAGAGCACAAAATCATTCAGCACAAAAATTCAAATAGGGTCTTTCTTTTACAGAAAGGCAAGAATAGATATTTCTATAATACTGCAGTATTCAAAAAGTATTGTGACCATCAAATACACCAACTTATTACAGATTGTGATGCTACTGCAACACCGATGTGTTACTTTTATACAGTTATTACAAGAGGATTACATTATCATCAACACTATCATTTCCCAGGATCAGGATGCAATAAATTCCTATTTGCCGGCTCAAGGTCTCAGACATTTTTACCATTTATTCAGCACTCTCAAATAGAAGAAACCCAGACGTTTCAAATTTTAGGATGACATAATTGAACAAAAGCATCATGTTTAGCAGAGTGAAGCAATTCACCTCGAATGAGACTATATCTTTACTATTAAAAAGCTAAAAAAATCTTTCATTAACCAAAAATTGATGGTGAATTTAGAAATCGACCTATTGGATTTCAAATTGTAACAACTAGAGACTCAAAGTCATGCTTAACTCCTCAAATTATTTTCTTTTCTGTTTCTCAATTCTTTGGCAAATGTTGTATACAAACCCATACCTTCTTACTCGCTCGCCATTAATTACCAACAATTCCTACACAGTTTTATAAAGATCAATACAATAAGAAAAAGGAGGATACGGAAACTAATCAATGAGCTAACACTTGGTTCTCAAAAAAGTCTTTCATCAAATAAATATTGGAGGAGGAGGTTGTTAAAGACGAATAATAATCACATCGGATACATAAGAACATCCACAAGAGCTATAAAGGCCTTAGGTAACTCCACCAATATGTTGACATTCTATATTTCGATGTTCAAATACATTCACAACAAGGAGTTTTATACAAGACTTCGCTATTCTTTTTGCTAGTGAGGAGTTTCCTTGCCCCACTAAGGGAGAAGAACTCATTTTTGTTGAAATCAGGAATTTTCATATATAGGAGCAGCTCGTACAATATTTCAGCAAATCAAGGTATTTCCCCTACCTAAAAATTTGAGAAAAGATATGACTTAGACTAATAAATAAATGAAGATATTTGTGCAACTTACCACAGCATGCTGAGTCTTCACAAAGTCAAGCACATGCTCAATGTCCTTTGCAAGAAAAGATTTGCGACAAACTGGGCACTTCCTCCTAGATTCTTCTGTTGAATCACACATCACCAAGCAAGATAAATAATGAGCTATGGAAATAGAAATGTTGGAATATTATGTCCACAAAAAGACACATAGATAAAAATAAAAATTCACCCTGGGTTCGTCCCCCAAAACCCCCAAAACCCCCAACTGTAAACTCATCTGGAATATATTTAAAAATTAGAAACCTAAACATAAAAATAAAAAATTCAGTGATTTCTTTACCCGCTCCTCAAAAAATGAGGGATTTTATGATGAAACACAAAAATATTAAATTACTCCTTAACAACCAAGCTTGCGAGCAAAAAGAAACACTTAGGATAACCAATGTGAGTGATATAGGAGCAAAATATGGAAGATAAATGGAAGGAAATAAGCTGAATCATTGAATCATTGGTATATAGACAAAAGCAAGGCTCAAATAAAAACCTCAACCTCTCTGCAGAATGAAGAGACAGGGGACCTCTTAGCCCCTGGGTTAGTAGATGCAGAGCCTCTTAAAACTAAATGATGCAAACACTTGTTCTAATGAAGTGAAAGTGCTATTACTCTTGCAACTAGACGGGGTATGCAGAGAGTATGTGAATACATGAATTATTTCTACAGAATTTCATTAGTCAAGTAAATTGGATAAAAAAGATCAAGTCCCTGAGCAAAGTTGACACACACATGGTTCAACAGTCAACACAAGTAATTGGTTGGTCCCACACAACTTTTTTATGCATCTATCATCCTATTTCTTTCTTTGCCTTCTTTCTTTTGTTGTGTGTGGATGAAAACTATCCTAAAGACCTTTGCTTCCCAATAAAATCCAGTTAACCTTTTCTAAATCTAGTTGGAGCAGGAGAATAAAATGAAAGAGGAGTATATGCTATAAAACAATTCAAATCCTAAGGCATCAATTTCATTGCAACGGACCATCCTGATCCGTGATACTTCCAGAAGATGAAGCAGAACCAGAAGCTGTAGGGGCATCAGATTCTTTTAGTAGTTCAAGCCAATTCCACCATCTGATGATGCACTCACTGCACAGTAAGAAAAATAAATGAGTTTAAAGTTGCAACCACGCATCTTTCAGCCAGCAGGCAAAGTAATCATAATAAAAAGGTATTAGCAACAAAATTTACCAATGAAAGCAATGAAAACAAGACATTAGTTTCATAAATGGCTCAGAGCTTCCTGAATCTTCAGCAACTAACGGATACAAGCACAACGGACACTCTCCATCAGGGTGATTCATACTCGAAAGCCGCTCCACTGCTTCCTAGTGATACATTCAGAGCATTAAATTTCTGGAAATTAAACCCACTTCTGAAATTCTAACAATTATTTGGACCATTTAGCAACACATTGCCTTTGTTGTTATAGCTCATAAATGTGAGTCCCTGATGAAATTCTTATTCATAAAATCAAAAATAGAATTTTTATTAGCATAAAGCTAAAACAAAATCCAGGATCAATCAAGCATATAAATGACAGATCTGTATTTAAAAAAAACATATAAATGACAGATACTTAGCATCTGGAACCTAATAAACTTCAATATCTTTATTGAAACTGAACCTTATAAATACTCTATTCTACATCTACTTTGCTCCTTTTTCTATTAACGCTCTAAATCGGCTGCAAAAATATCAGTGTGTTCTTTGAATTCATTTGACTGAGGACAAAAAGATCCGAAGTATATTGTCATAAAAAAAAAGATCCGAAGTATATAGTTATTCTTATTCATCATAACGTGAGTTCTGAGATTTTGGATCTATGTTTTATTAAACGAGGATAATCTAACTAGGATTGTCATCGATCACAGAACTGGATCTCAACAGTGCAATGGTTACCTCACAAAGTGCTACAAGCATTAGACATGAGGAAAGTTCACTGGCCCTTTCTGAAATACAACTTATCAATTGTTTTTGCCTTTGCTCATCAAGACCCTTGGAATCAACAATTCTAATAGCAGGTGGCTCGTCAGGATACTGCCAAAATAATTATATCAGTGCAGGAAAGAAATATGAAACCTGTCTAATCACACAAGTATGGCTATTGCATGAAGTAGTTAACCAAGAAACAAAATGGGACACAAGTGTGTATGGACTGCAGAAAGCTATCAGATGAAAAAAACATAAAATTTGATGACAGAAATACAGATGAATTAGACAACAAGGTCCAAATGGCAATCATCACCCCCAAAAAGAAATCACAGTGATAGATGTTCAAACTTGCATATTGTGGACAATTTAGAAGAAGAGGAATGCAAGATGTTTTGAAGGCAAGAGCAGCTCAACCCAGAAAATCAAGAGTACAGGCATTTCTCTTTTTCATCTTTTGGTGTAAAGAACAGTTTGTAGAAGATGCAGGATCATGGATGGACATTTTTTTTAATCAGGAATGCTGAATCATTGATCAACTTTTTTGACTCCTTGTAAGAATTACAGGGGGGATTGTACTAGTAAATATTAAATCAGACCTTTTTGGGTGCTGATGATATAACATGTAACCGTTTTCAAAAGAGAGAGAGAGATCACGGAGACAGAGTACCTTTGAACCAGCCTGGATTCCTATGATTGCTTCCACAAACTGAAACACAGGAGAAAGTGAAAATGAAACTATTTTCTATAGCAACATACAACATAATCAATAGGAAAAGTAACCAGGAAATCAAAGAAAAAAAAGAAAAAAAAGAACTGTCAAGTATAATGCCACTTCATCAGATCCATTGAAATTATCAGAAAACATTGACAGCCTTAGGAAACACGAACTACTCTTAAACCAGTACTCTCTTCGTCACTGTGTTCAAAACGTGTATCTCATCTGTATAGAATATTATGCCTCCATTAATCTCTCTATCAGACTCCGCCTCTGCATTTTCTTACACTATCCAAATTGTGACTAAACATGAAAATTTTGCTAATGATTTAACCTTCCAATCTAGGCAATTCATAAAGTATTGTTGTCAAAGGCATATCTGTAACGAGCTGAAATGGAAAGATGGTCAGGTCATATAGCTGACTCCGTCTCTCTTTGGATTGAAACATAGTTGTTACTGTAGCGTTGTCAAAGACTTATTTCAACCATGTTAACCCTGAAGCTACTTGATGCTCAAGATGACCACTTTGCCTTGCTTAAACACACTTCAGCATAGGTATCAAGGTGTAAAGGTGTGCCCCATTTCTAAGGGCTTCATATAAACATTAAAATTACAGGTAAAAAAATAGATTTGTATTTAATAAAAAGTAAATTTAAAATTTTAATCTAAGAAACTAGTCACTTGACCAGAATTAAGAACTCTTTTAGTATCTAACCTTGTGTTGGTTTTTGAACTTAATTACGTGCTTTTACTTCATAAATTTCACTTAATTTCAGATTTTTCATTTACCTTGTTCTTATAATTGTTGTATGTGTTCAGCATTATTTATTCTGGAATTATATTTTCTTTTTGTTCATTTTTTTCTAAATCCCTCTTTTAATAGGGCTTTGCACTTAGACCAGCAAACTTTAGGCACTTTTCAATGTTTTTTCATCTTTGACAGTGCTGCATATGAGGTGTTCAAGTATGCTTGCCTCCATGCCGCAGCGGAAAAAATAAAACATTTTGGTAGGTGGTAACTACATGTGGAGAATAAAGTAGTCCTTGACTGAATTCTGGCATATCCTCCTCTTCTTTTCCTTTTTTTTTGACAAGTTACATTTCCTTTATCCTCTCCCCTTTATTTCCCCACAATTAACGATATATCTGGATTACATTGTGTTCCCACTTGACATATCATTTCTTATGAAGGTGACCGACGACAAATTTGGAAGGAATTCAAACTAAATTTTGAAAGAATATGGAGGAGCAATTTAAAGTTTAGGAGGTCCAATGTTTAAAGAAACAGTTCCAATGGATGCACAGAAATGAGATATAAACATAACCTTAAAAGAAGTGAAACCAATTGTAAGAGGTGATGGAATGAAGACCAAAATTAAATAGACTCAGATAGCTGCCCCTTAAAAAAATCGATAGAAACATATTGAAATTAAGACCAATAACTGATGACTAATGAGAAAGCCAGTTTTATTAAATTTATTGATTTGTCACTTTTAACCGACGATAAGTGAGGATCATCGCCTTATAGGTGAAGCCAGTAGAATTAAAGAAGTTTGAACTTCTAATAATGACGAGCAAACTGACCCAAACGGAAGGCGGTTGGTTCTTTGAATCTCAGCTTTAAGGAGCTGATAAATATTGGGGGTATTGGGACATTAAAATTAGTTATTTTAAGTGCAAATCGATTATTTTGTACTGAAATCATATTTGTTATTTTTTCTTTTAAATCTCTAAAAATGTGTGTTTCACTTCAATGAAGCTTGCACTTCAATAAATGCTTGTCGGTTCAAGACCCGTGGACCTTGTTGTGTTTTTATGCTTCGCACTTTGGAGAAAACATTGATATATTATACGGGAAACTATACACGCAATGACAAATTAGCAATCTGAATTTAAAGGGCACTAGGGGCATATTACCATCAATGCACAATGATTGTAACCGATACTTAAAGCTCTTAAATTGCTACTCCACTACAAGTTTCCAAGGTGTTTGTAGCTTAAGTGGAAGATAACTTATTGTATTTCCTAATATTTCAGAATTAGCCCCAGGCCCCATTCTTTGGGTTGTTATGTAGCACTTTATCCTTATCTAGAAAGTAGCTAAAACAGAGTGAAGAGCAAGATCCTCCTATTATATTTTGGAGGTCTTTATACTTTTCCCTGTCTTGATGACAAATGATCTTTTCCCTTTTGTACTTCTTTTCATTTTGATGATGAATGGACTTTTTCCATATCAAAAAAATTATTTTCTCGTATTTCTTTTTCCATCATACATTTTTTTCCTTCTTTTATAAAATTCTGTTTTGGGAGCTTTTTGCTGCTCTATTTGGGAGATTCTACTTGAAGGATCGGACTTGTAGTGTAACCACAATGCAAGAATGATACACAGAAATAGAGAGGTAGCAGTTTTCAAATTGGGGTTTATACACATTCAGTTCTCTGCTCAATAGCTAGTAGATTTTAAGATGTCATTCTCCTATCACAATTACCAAATTAGCGCCAGATTCATTAACAAAAAAAAACAAAAAAAAAAAACTTGCCCGCTGCCCCCAACTCCCAATTCTCATAACAAAAGTCCCAGGACACAACAAAATTATATTGCAAGCATTTCAGCACAAAGATCAATCAGCTGTTTGAAGAATCGAAATAATTTTGGTTGGAAAGAGAAAGAACCTGTTGAGAAGAATCATCGGCAGTACGAGGCTTGATATGAAGATGAAACGAAGGAGGATAAGTTTGTAGGAGTAAGCAATCATCGCCGTAAACAGCTTGTAATGCTTCTACTTCTCCCACTATTTCTTCTTCTTCCGCCATGTTTGGCTCTGTGGCAAAGGCGGTGGTGAGCGTTGCTAACTTTGTACACAAAAATATATATATGGTGGAGCTCCTTTAACTATACTTTATGTTCAACAAAGACAAATTTAGTCCATATTAAATTAATTTCAGTATTTAACCCTTTATTTTCAAGGAGCTACTTGTTAAAAAAAAAAAAAGGAGAAGGTTTTGTTTTGCTTTATGGTATTTTCGAACTTTTTTCAGATATTAAAAAACTTGCACGTAATGAAGTAAAGAAAATAGAGTTGAAAGTGGACTTTTCCAACGCTTTGTTCGGATGGTTGTTGCGTATTATTTCATTATATATTGTGTTGTATTATATTATTTTAATGAGCACAGTGTTTGGATAGATTGCATCGTTTTTCATCGTTGCATAATGTCACACATTCATAATTTGAATTATAAACCTAGGGAAAAAAAGTAGGGTATGGGATAAAGTTATTATGAAAAGATAGGATAAAAGACGAAATATGATTATTGAATAATAAAGATAAAATGAGAAAAAATTATGATAACGACACGATCACACCAAATCGGTCATTACGATATTTTCATCGTTATCTAACAATGAATTTAAACAATATGATACAATAAAATTTAAGTAACAATCAAAATAAACATTGTATTTAAACTAACAATACAATACAATAAGTAATAACCATCCAAAAAAAAGTGTTAATTTCCTAAAACTATTTTACTAAAAATCTCTCTATAAACTCTTCTCCTCATTCTTTACATTCATTCTTGTTGAGAAGAAAGAAAAATAAAATTGAGGCATGAAAAATTCCTTGAGGTCGAGCGTTCTAGTCCAACGATTCTGCATTTCTGTTATAGTCTACACTTGTCTGTCCAAATGATCAACCTTGCCATCAAGTTGGATTACTCGATCTTTGAGTGTATCCTTAACAACAGTCGTTGTTGAGTATTTTCTTAACTACAGTTGTCGCTGACAACACTTCACTGCTACCGTCATGTACATGGTACAACAAGAAGAGAATTAGCAGAAATCGAAAGATTTTATTCAACTAGCCTCATAATTATATTTTTTACTCCAACCACATATTAATTTTACATAGTATAAGGACAAATTTGACAATTCTCACCGTTTAGAACATATAATTTTCATGCCTACGGTATTTAATATTCAAAATTATTCACGTGGTAATTGAAATTGGTATAATTACTAGGATAGTAAGTACCAGTCTAGTAATTATACAATCTACTAATTACACTATATGTTTGTTTGTCACAGTGTAATTACACATGTACTGTTTGGTTGAACAAGTGTAATCATAAGGTTATATTGAATTTTAAAAATAAAAATTAATTATTTAAAATTAAAAAATTATATTAGACAAATAAAGGCCTTTATAAATTATATTAAATTGAATATTTAAGATATATATAGTCATTTGAAAATATATTAATCAATAAACATATGATATTAACTAATATTATAAAACATAATTAATTTAGTATATTTTAATTAAATTAATTATAAAAAACTAACAATACAGAATTTCTGTGAATATCATGAAATGCATGTTTGACAAAAAAAATTAATATTATATATATAATGTCATAAAATTATAAAACATTTGACAAAAAATATAATCTATCAAGTCTAGCTTTTTTTTTAAAAAGTAGTAGTTTGCAATGTAAAATATCGAGTCAATACTCTTACAACAAATGAAGTTGAAAATATAACATAAGTTCTAAATTCAAAACAAAAAATTTAACATAACATACATGAATATGACTTAAAAGAAAAGGAAAACGTAAGTCCGTAACTTTACTCAAAAATGAATTCTACTTTAATTTAAAAATTAAAATACTACCAAAATTATATTAATGATTTGTTTTAGATAATAGAATCACACGAAGTAAAGGTTAAGAATAAGAAGGAAATGAAATATAAAAAATATATATTTTTAGAAAATATTAGAACAATAAAAATAAAAAAGAATTTCAATCAATAAAAATAAAAATACATTAAAACGAAAAAATAAAAATAGAAATTTAAGGAAGAAATTAAAAAATAATTAGCTTGAAATTACCAGCAATTCACAGCCTCCCCTGTGAATTGGAGAGTGTAATTACACCCTGCCAATTACATTCAATTATCTATTGACAATGTAATTACACGACCAACCAAACAAGACATACACTCAATTACACTAAAATCCAATTACTAGGATGACTTTCCAAATAGGCCCATAGGTCCTACTTCCATAATTATTCAAATCATAGTGTGGATATTTTACCATTCTCAATAAAAGATTATTCAATACATGATACAAAGGCTCTTAGGGGGCTTGTATTTGTTACATAATTACAATTATTTTACCATTTACGTAGATAGTACAATCATGTAGTTATTGAAGATGTACATGAATGTCCAAAACACAAAATAAGAAAAATGTACAACATGCAAGACTTTCACCCAAAGAAAGAAAATAAAAATGGGCAAAAGAAGTAGCAGCATCTATGTACACAGCTCATTTATCCTTTCTGCAGCTTCCGTAGGTGCTCAAACTCTTTCAGTTGTGTCTTTAGAAGTGTATGCTCCTGCTGCATTTTGCCAAGCAGTGTTTCGACCATAAACATCTCATCTTTTAGATGATTAATCTTTTTATCCAGAAAACCTAGTATATCAACACCCGTCTCTCCTAGACGATACATGCTACTTGCAGAGTCCCCTTGAGATATCACTTGGACGTGCTGTGGTCTACCTAACAACACGAGTATGCTCATCTGCAACAAAGTTTGATGAGACAAAAAGATTAATCAGTAAATTTATCTTTCATCATCTTGACTACACAATCAAGGGGTCAATTTATTGCAGATCCATCATACGTGGAAACCAATTAACTCATAACAGAAAAAAATCAATGTAACACATACAATGTAACAAGAAAGTTAGAGCAATGACGAAAATTGACATAGTGAAACAAAAGCCAGACTGGGCTTGAAGCTCTTGACACTAGTTTTTGACCTGTTTTCCAGAAGACAGACATCAAAACAAGGTGGAAAAGGGCAGGCATCTAACTATATTTATAGAAGATGGCCAGAGCAAATATACTAGAATATCACCTGGTCATTCCCTTCAAAGTGGGCCCTTAACTTACTTTTGAAAACTAAAGTTGTTACACTCCTGTAACATTCAGCTAATTACACTCCCTTTACTCGTCTCAATTTATTGACCAAGTTTCTACCTTCATTTGTCAAAACAATGATTTCGAACTTTGATATGTTTAACTTTTTTCCCCTTCACTTCAAATAACAACATACACACTGGTACATAGACCTTACCCCTACCTCAGAGGTAGAGAGGCTGTTTCCGATAAACCCTCTGCTCAGGGAAAAACAGTCCAAAGCAATCAAGAAAAAGAAGTAACCAAAGTGCAAGTAACATTTCAATAAAAGCTACTTTATTTTATTTTATTTTTTATGATGTTGGTGTCGGGGCTAGTTTGCGCGCACTTCAATTAATTCACCGAGTACGTGTTACCTCCACCCATCATAGATACTGAGAAAATTTATCCCCCAATGCTAAGGCAAATGCGGAAAATCAGTGCCTCCGTTAGAATTTGAACCCGAGATCTCATTGTCCTCATCCCACTTCATTGAACACTAGGTCATATACCTTGGGTCGCCAAAAAACTAAGTTGCTCAGACTCTCCAAAAATGTTGCTGCACCCGTGTTGGATCCTTCAAAAATGTACTACTTTTGAAGGATCTGACACACACCCGATAACATTTTTGAAGAGTCCGAGCAACATAGCCAAAAAATGCTACTATATTATTTCAAAAATTAATTTGGTTTACCATTTTACACTTCCTCACAATTCAAATTATTTTAACTCCTTTACAAGACCAATACAATTATCTGTTAAAACCTTGAAAGTCAACCCATATCAATTAAAATGGTAAGGGCGGGGTGTCTGCATTGCTATCTTAAACATTGAAAGGTGAATTCCGCTGAGCCAAGACTAGTTTACAGAGAGTATCTGATGCTAAACAGAAAAGCAAGAAAAAGAATGAGACCAAAAATAAGTTTACAGTGTTCGGTTATTTTTAACACTAATATCATAAGAGGAACAATCTGTGGTAACAATTTCGTTAAAACATAGTTCTCAGATAAAGAGTGCAAATTGAGAAACATACCTGCATTAGAATCAATATCACAGCAATGGTGATCACTATAAGAATGGAAACATGGCTCTGAGATTTCAAAGATGATGAACACTTGAGCATGAAATCTCTACACAAGGAAGTTATGGACACAGTACTGCTATCAGCAGCTTGCTGGTTGAGCGGCGGTATTTGTGACCTGATTTCATTACTTGTCTCATCTAAGTTTTCTACATGTTCATAAATTTTTTTCGGCTGAGCACTTGTTACCACAATAGCAGCTTGACCATCAGCTGACAGAATAATTTAATCAGATAACATGAGCTTGGAACCAAAGAATGTATAGCCCAACATATAAAATAGCCAAAGGTGTGATACAAGAGGTTTCCAGAAGCACTACCTTTTTCCTTCTCTAACTTCTTTTGCTTCAACAGTTCATCATGCGCCTGAAATAAAAACCCACATCAATCTTTTAATCTGCTTTACAGATCCTGCAAACTGAAAATAGAAGAAATTGTAGAGGAAGAGGAATATACAAGGGCAATCCATGTGACATACAATGCTCGACATTCATCAATTGTAGACTGCACTATCTTCCCTGCAGAGATTCCCAAGCAATTAGCAGCGACACAAAAGTTCTTGTAAGGTGAACATCATAAATTACCTTTTTTCTGTAACTGCTTAAGCAGCCAAACTAACAAGGATACACAGCTAGCTACCCACGATATGTGCAAGATACAATACCTACCCCCTCCACAACCTCATTTTCTAGCTCCCGTCACAATTTTTAACTCTTTGATGGGGTCACGAAATGGAGAGTCGGGGCTTAAATTTCAAGTGCTAAAGATCAGAAACTGACACTCGTCCATTAAGCATGAAAACTTCTCAGCTGTTGATATCA